GTGGATAATAAGGAGATTACACAGGCACTAGCTTGTTTGGAGTTAACCATTCAAATGTTTGGTGTTGTATGGATTATTAATGTAAACACAAAACCCCGCAGAATTTGAGGTTATGAGAACAGGTTGACATTTCGTCAACAAATCCTGTTGAATTTACTGTTTATCCTTGTCTATCTTATTGTCAGTCTGTATAATTCTATGGTTACCGGAGTTTTAAATAATTACGAAGCAACAGGTATTTGCGCAATGTTAATTGGGCAGATCACCTTGAAAAACATTGCCGTATTTCTGATATAGTTTTTTGCAAATTTCTCAGTGTTTAGTAACAATTAATTTCTTTTACTATTTTTTCTATACTCCTATAACAGCGCCAGACAACACCTCCAGAGGAATGACGCCAATTTTGAATCACCCTGTATTTTTAAAAATTACATTCCCTTCGAATAATAGCAATATGACAAACAAAATAAATATGAAAATCCATTTTCGACTGTTTCAGTAAATATATTTTCTAATAAATGCCATTGACAAACCGCAAATTTTCAGCAATTCTCATTTTGGTTTTCTGATATTTTTGTTTCTGTTGGTTCCATTGCATCACATTCCAATTCAGCAGCCTCTGCAATTTTATTTAACAATCTATCGTTTTCGTCAACCAGCGCTTCAATAGCCTTTCTGTTTTCCTAAAACGAAAATATTGAAACCATTAAGTTTCGATTTTATACAGGGCGTTCTACCGGGATGCGCCGCGATCGATATCTGGCAAGCTGTAATATAGAGAAATTTGAAAATTGGCCGAAGTCAATGGGGGCATGCGACCTAAAATATTTTCAAGACGGAAGTAGGTACCAAGTTCAATAAATTTAATTATAATAAAATTCAATAAATTTTAATACATTTAATATCCTATACTTAAGTCTAACCGTTTTTGATATATTTGAAATTTTATGTAAAAAATTACAGTTGCAGCCAATTGAATAATTATTCATTTTTCCATAAGGAAATATGTGCTACTTAATTTGAGCTACATTTATTGTTAAAAAAGGCAAATGGAATTTCGACAAAATTTGGTTAACTATTAATACAAGTGTTTAAAAAATTATGTTGAAAATGACTATCGGAAAACCGGCCAAAATAAATTTTTTCAAATAAAAACCCCATTTTAGTTAATTTTATCTTATTTAGTATTAAAAATAAGGGTAGTTTGTGTACAGTGGTCTATTCCAAAAGTGTTTAGTTTTCGAAATATTGTAAATTTAATGTTTTCATACGGATATTTTGCCGCATCTTATTTTAAACCCTGTCACTCTTAGTTGCCATGATAAAAGTTGCCATTTTTAATACAATCAGCCAAAGCAATGCTGACCAGCTGTCCCCCTGACCTTTTGAAAATAATTAACAATCATGCCCAGCTGCCTAAACTATTCAAGCGAAGATTGCTGAAACTTATTTATTATTTATGAAGAATGTGATAAAGTTATATCAAGAATCAGTATTAAAAATAATGGTAAATTTGTGTAAAGATGTCTATTTCAACCGTGTTTAGTTTTGGAAATATTGCCAATGTAATGTTTTCATATGGCTATTTTGTCGCATCTTACTTTAAATACTGTCACTCTTAGTTGTCAAAATAAAAGTGGTCATAATACAATCCAATGCCAATAAAATACTTACAGCTTTCAGTTACTTTTTGAAAATAACTAATAATCATGACCAGACACTCATATTATTCAAACAAAGATTATTTAAACTTATTTATTATTTATGGAGAATGTGATAAAGTTATATAAATAATTCAAAATCAGTTTCAAATATCTATTTTGGGTCAGCGAATATTCAAAATACCCAAATACCCCACTTGAATTATTATGCGAAAACTACCACCATCGATCCAAAAAAAGAAACTCCGATATCTAATTCATTGAAGCATTTACGCTACTATACTACATATTCCTTTGAAACCGGTATTCATGTGCATCGAAACCGGTTTAGAAGACCCCGATGGTCGCGTGGGTTCAAATTCCTCGGGTAACCCCACTTTCTATTGGCCGGAGTCGGATTCTCCGCATTCCGACGAAGGTCTCTCATCGGGGCGATTCCCATTCTTCGGGTCTCTTCGTCTGCCATCGGATGAACGACCATTCCGCGAATTCTTCGGGATATTCTTCACGTTTTAGATGGGTTTCGGTTAGAGAACCAGAGGAATTTTGGGAGACACTAAATTAAAAAAATTATCGAGTTGGCTCAAAAATTGCCACCTTCGTCATGGCAACTGACTGGGACTGCATTTCTTATTTTTAATACTGAATAATGGGGGGTTCCATTTGAAAAAAATATATTTTGGGCGGTGTTCTCAACTTTTCAACATGAAAACCGACTCAAATTAAGCAGCACGTATTCTCTTATAGTAAAAACGAATAGTTATTCGAATGGCTGTATTTGTCATTTTTTTGTCAAAATTTAAAATATATCAAAAACCGTTAGACTTAGGATATTATACATGAAATATGTTTAGAATTTGGAGTAGAATCCAAAACGATAATAATGTATAAGGAGTTCCATTTAACACATTCCCGGTATAATCGGAAGTGTGGCCATCTTGAACATATTTTAGATCGCTTGCTCTCAATGATTTCGGCATACCGTCCAATTTTCAAATTTCGTCTAGTTACAGTTTGCCAAATATTCATCGCGACGGTTTCCGGTGAGACATCCTGTATAGGTGCAGGGTGATTTTTAAAAATTTTAAAACGCTTAAATATTTTTGAAATTAGTGATCCAACGAAAAAATGTGACACATGCTAAGTTAATATCTGAGACGGGAAGTTTATTCATGTTAGACAACGCCTACTGGGACCTTGTAGGCTAGACAGAGGCCAACTTGGTAATTTCCAATGGTAACCACACCATTTTACTGGCAAATTCGGGTAGTACGTCCAACAGTAAGAATGTTTGATCTAAAATATTTTCTTTGATTTTGACAGGCGGCGCCCTCTGATAATCGGTACTTTTTAGGGCGACTTTCTTTCTGTGCACCTATCTTTTATTTACGAAAACCTTGCTATTTCTACAGAGTCTGTGTTCTTTCGAACCGACCTGATAATATCAGATCAGGATATCAGGTATCAGAATATATTATATTGTACCGGCTGGTTTTCAAAGTTGCAAAAAATTTAATTGGAAGATTTTTAGATAGAGGAATCCAAATTTTCCATTATTTAGCCCGTAGGTAGAAGAAGCTGTAGTAGAAGTAGTAGTAATTAGTAGTTGTCGCGCGCTAATTCTAAATAGGTTAACTCTGAACGCACCCTGTGAAGTGCATAAATTGTGACAATGTGCGAGTGAGAGAGAGCGAGAACTAACCTAAAAGGGCAAGACACGAGAGTATGATATTGTGATAGTTGCGCGAGTTTGGACAGGGTTTTCATGCGTGGTCATATTCGCAATATTTTCAGCGAATGTTGAAATAAATCCATCTGCAGGTATGTCAGCAGTGAACAAGTTGTTGAGTGGGGGTCCAAGAACTGAAACTTGGAAGACTGCCGCCTTCATATCTCGCAACTGATATAGAGATTGATTAACTCTGACTTGACACATGCGTTTGCTCAAGTATGATTTAAGTAAGACGAATATCTGTGATAAGTCAGTTTTTATTTTGAATAAGAATCCTGAATTCCAGACACGGTCAAAAGCTTGCTTAAGGTCTAGGAACACTCCACTGCCGTAAAATTTATTCTCTAGACAATCGGATATTTGACTATGATATAGTAAGTCTGTGGATCTGCTCAACTGCTGAGCCTATATCAAAAGCCGAACTGGTGGTTTGGTCTCAGACCGTTTCTGTCAATTGTTAGTTTCAGAAGCAGTCTTTAAAATACTTCGGATAACTGCGGTAAAAAGCTAATAGGTCGGTAAGAGACGGCATTTTAGGCTGGTGTGCCAGCCTTAGAGATCATCACTATCTGGGCCACTTTCCACTGTGATGGAAAACAAGTTGCAACAAGAATCAATCATGGTGCTATATCAACAAAAGTTTCATTTTGAAATAATTCTGTATTGTACCGTGGATGGCCGAGTATTAACTCTTTGTTCTGTCTACAACTTTTATTCCACTCGGTATAACTTTAACTACGGAACAGGAACAAACTAACTTCTAAATTAACGTCAACTTCACAAACAATAACAATAACAAACGGAAAACACGCGTTTCCGACTCGCGTGTTTAACCTCTTCTGCACTCAGGCGCGACTGTCACTTCACTCCCCCGTCTGGTTCTCGTCGTCGCTTATATCCTTTTCTCCAGGTATTCCAGATAGTTCTAGAAATCTCCAGAACAGGTGCGAAACTTCCCGCTTGTCAGTGTCATATTTGACAGTAAATGGGGCCCAAATGGGGCTCCCATTTACTGAAACACCATGAATTTCGATCCCCCATTCCAAACGTGAGTACCCCAGGC